AACTTTTCAATTTGATCAGCAGTCAAACTGCGTCGAATTGCGCTCCTACGCGACTGGTGGTGATTCCTCTCCTATTTCATCGTTAGAATACTTATATCCGTCTAATTACAGATGTATTCCACGGCTACATTGGTTTTGGTTTTGCAGCTCAGCTGTTATTTCGCCGCTTCTGTCAGAGGCGAATTATCTGGTGGCGGTAATCACTTTTGTTGTTCGTTAACGAATTTCTGATCTTGTTTGCGCAGTCTGTTCTCAGATGGGTAGCATCATTGGGTTAATATCGGTTGGCGAGAGATATTTTGTGATTACGTGCCTAGTGAAATCCATAAGAAACATGTGTTTTATATGAGCTTGAGTGATTTGACTTCAATGAAACATTATATGCTGATTGAATGCGGATATTCGGAGAATTCATTTGATAATAATCATGACATAAATATAACTAATGGTGAACATCGTGTTTGCATTTCTCAACAACGACGTTGTTTATCGCTCCGGCCTGAAAGTTGTGAAAGTTCAGTTTACTATTAGATTGAGCAGTGCAATACTATCTCCGTTTCTATCGTTGAGGTGTTATAATTACAGTGCATCAGCTAAAACCCGATTTCAAATTCACATTTTTCTAAAGCTGTGTGAGATTAGGAAAGAAAGCGATCATTTTTATGTTCCCATTTGTTTCTCTTATTTTGTGACTCTCAGCTGAAACCGAAGTTGAATTTGCTTCTTCTAAAATGTTATCCAAGAATGGCAAGTATCTGTACATGTGACCTGTGATTAGTAGAAATTTTCAAAAACTCCAAAAAGTGACCATCATAAACGCGAATTAGTGAAGAATTTGGCAAAATGAGAGATTAGGAACACATGCAAGCAGAGATTCTTAACCCCAACCCTTCTGCCATGTATTGAATCTGATACTTAACACGAGGAAAACATGTTCTTTTAAATGGCAAACACTGCAGACGATTCGGAACAACATGAAGTTCCAGTTCATTCCAGTTCATAGGCACGCCATAATATTGTACTTTTTAAAATTTTGAGTGAATCATTTTGAGATGATTGAAAATATTCCAGAAGCATAAGAAAGCATTGGGCTGAGAGCGCGAACATGAGACGGAAAAAAATGCCTTACACATTTAGTGATAATTATTTCGTAGTTACGATCAAGAACAATGTTCAGGAATAAATGCGATCATATGATATAAATGAATTGTTTAGGTGGTGAATACATCGGCGGTCAAGGAATTGAGAAATTGCTGACTCGCGCGAACGGTGGAGTAACCCTTGGAAGTGAGTGGGTTTCCGTTGGAAATCAGTTTTGAAGTCTGCTTGGCGCACTTCAGATTGATAGCGACAATATTCAGAATTAATTTTCGCATCTCAAACTTTTCAACAGAAAATTCTTCTGTTTCCAAAGATGATAACTTCACAAAATGGTTTTAAATTATTGAAATTGAGCTGTAATTTTCAGATGCTGGACCTGTTATGACTGGCAGCCAAATGAGCAGCATCCTGAGTAACAAAAATGCAAACATGATGATGGGAGGTGAGGATCCTTTCAG